GACCCTTTAAAAATAAGAGTTAAAATCAACAAATGTGCATGTACAAATTTAGTTGCTGCTAAAAATGTTAACCTATGAACTGTGTTGTTGTGAGTTGGGTGAAATCACTACCACACCCTTCACTCTGTTATTGTTGTAGTGAAATACAACAGACATGTAGAATTGCTTTGTTACCAAGCTATACGCCTATAGTGAAGAAAACTAAATAGTTGTACTTTGATATGTAAATAATATTATATTTTTTTTTGAACACTGTGGTATTGTTTACTTCAGACATAAAACTGAATAACAGCTTCTACTACATACGATGAAAATGCCATTCATAGAATTACAGTAAAGTCCCGAATTTTTCTTCACTCCCAGTTTGAAGCAACAGGACGATGACCCTGTGTTGTTCTGTCATGTGTGAATAGTAATCACGATGTTTTTTAATGTCAGTCATTGCACATTTGCACTGTTTTTCAAAAACAAATATTGATTGCAAAATTATTTACATTGGTTCTGAGAATTATTCGGACAGTCAGTTAACAAGATCGCTTAAAACTTTGCAAAACATTTGGGTTTTTTTGTCCAATCTAGAATTTACAACGCTGTTCCATTGACATGTGCACAGTTCAGATCATTCCATTATCATCATACTAGATGAGAGTAAAGTGAAGTTTTTCACAAAGAAATGTAGAATATATGAACCTGTTATTTTGATTTGTTTTAATATTTCTTGAATCAATACAATGTATATCCTCAAGAAACGCAGGATACTTATTGAATACATACATTGGATTGGCAAATCACTATGTTGACAATAAATAATAATAAGAAGAATCACACATAGCACGCAGATGCCGTCAAGTTTAGAACAAAGCAAAAGCTCAAGTTTCACAAAAATGCAAGACATCTGACCATTTTTCTCTGATATAATTTGGAAATCATATTATACCTTTATATTTATTCCATCCAAACATAACAAGGCTTGTATCTAAGAAAAAGAGCAAGGTTGTAATTGTTTTGCTATGTTTTTTTTATTTAGGTAACCTTCACCTTCAAGTCAATCAAGTTAATCGCGTACCATATAGTTACTTGCCACACATGTTGTTGCCACGACAACAGTGGTTTAGATTGGTTTACACACAGTATGGTAAGAAGGTAAGGATAACAAATTGTATCAGACAGCTCAGAATTTTTGGTATGTGAGGGGGTCAAGGCAACTTTAGGGTCAAGGTCAATCCTGCATTTTGATAGAGTTGCTTCAGGGTCAAGTTGTAATGATCCATTAAACAAATACAGATCATACTGTGGTAATGACTTGACACAATGTAATCATTATTAATGTTTATCACAATCTTTATTAATATACTTTAATCATTAAACAACAATGCAATCAACAACCAGTACTGTGGCTCTGACCAATAGCATGACAGAACACTGTGGCTCTGACCAATAGCATGACAGAACACTGTGGCTCTGACCAATAGCATGACAGAACACTGTGGCTCTGACCAATAGCATGACGTAACACTGTGGATCTGACCAATAGCATGACAGAACACTGTGGATCTGACCAATAGCATGATAGAACACTGGGTCTGACCAATGGCATCACAGAACACTGTGGATCTGACCAATATCATGACAGAACACTGTAGATCTGACCAATATCAAGACAGA